TAATATAATTATAACATTATCATTACAATATTATCATTTTCTTCCTCACAATGGAAGTACCAATAAAGTAATTAAGCAATCAAGCAGACATGTGTGGGTAGCAGCACTGAGGTCCTTGGCACACCAAGAGGTAGCCCTAGTTTACAAGCTTCCTGATGTTTCTTCTCCCCCCTAGTCCTTTGTCTAGGGAGTTCTGGCTGCAGATTTCACAGGGAGTTGTACTATTAACCCAAAGGCTTATATTCATCTACCAGCAGCTCCAGAGAAAAATGCAGGCAATATCCTCCTGTGCAATGTACAGCCCTGGAAATCCAGCAGGGAGAGTCAGGTGATGTGGTTCCTGTTTGGCGGCGATGAGTGAAGGAGGCCTTCACCTGGCTCTTATCAATGTGGGGATTGTGGGGCCCTTAGAGCTCTGTGAAGCTGGCTCAAGATTCAAAACCCAGCTTCATAGGTCTTCCTGGTGGAAGTCTAAAGGCAAACGTCTCTCCCAAACTGCCTTCCCAATTTACTCCTACGTTCTCTAATTGAAGGTAAAGTCTTCAAATGAAATGAGAGAGATGGCTTCAATGGATAGTCTCTTGACCTTTCAGAGTCTTCTTTTGTTTGTTTTATAAATAACAGGCAAGGTTTTCAGTTCACAGGAGAAGAATTAGGGGAAAGTACATCTATTTGATTTTGGTCTGGAATCAGAAATCTATGCCGTGTTTTTCAAGCCTTAACTTGCACAAGAATCACCTGGTGCTCTTAAATATGCAGGTTCCATTTCGGCAGTTTGGGAGTGGGGCCTGAGAGTCATTTCTAGAAAACCCCCAGGGATCCCTGATGCTGCTGGTCCAGGGAGAATGATTTGAGTGGTGAGGGACTTGGGTGAGGGAAATAGGGAATCATGAGAAGGAGATTGAGTATTTGCTGTGTTAGGTAGGGCAGGCCGGAAGATCTCACTGAGAAGATGATGTTTGAGCAGAGACCTCAGACAGGGAGAGGAAGAAATAGCTGAACAGAGACCCAGGAGCCCAGTGTCCAGGCTGAGAGAGAGCAGAGGCAAAGTTCCCAAGGCCAGGGTAAACTGGATGTGTCTGAGAACCAGGGAGATGATTCAGTAAGGTGAAGGAATGAAGGCAGAGAGAGAAGGGCAACAGGGAAACCAGTAGGATTCCGGCAGTCAAATTCTAAATGTATTTTGAAGGTTTATTCTCATCTCAGATGGAATAAAATCCTTCATTTTGAGCCTTTGCTTGCTCTGTTTATTTCTTATGGAAAACATATTGCTGAATTCAATGTTAAAATTACAGGTCTGTGTATATATTGCTATTGTTGTTGTTAAGTGTTGAGTCGTAGACAACTCATATTGACCCTATGAACAAAAGACCTGGACACTTGTATAACTTTCATTCTTTCTCCAAGTTCATAGAGTTTCCGGAGGCAAGATATTTCAGAAGTGGATGCCACTCCTGCTTCCAAGCTTGTTTTAATCGGGGAGCTCCACCAAACACTGTCCACCATGGGTAACCATTATCCCATTTGACACATCAGCGTCACAGTGTTCAGCATCACAGCAACCACAAATGACCTCTGTACAGCAAGTGGACAGACCAGTGTGTATATTAGTAAACACAATGGCCCAGCATTGTAATGAATTCCCATTATGCCCCATGATATCCCCTTTTTTTTTCTGTAACCACATTTGTGTCTAAGTTAATTGACTCCATTTTCATGGTCAGTAACCCTCAACTCTCTCCTCTTTCTCCTTCTTTGCACATACTTGTTTGAGTTAACTTTGTGACACCAACAGCTTGTGATCTAAAAAACCATCATAAATGTCATTTCCCCCTTCAAGTGTCCACGTCTATTATTTACAGATTTATTGTTGCTGTTGTGTTCTGTCAAGTTGGAACTGACCCCTCACTGACTCTCCAGTGGGTTTTGAAAGGCACGTAAACAGCCAGGGTAGAGATTGCCCATTTTTCTCCCTCAGAGCATCTGGTGGATTCAAACCTCGTACCTCTGTGTTGGCAGTGTAGTTCCTTGCCACTAAGCCACCAGAGCTCCCTGTTACAGATTCATAGAGGAACAATTCAGATTGATTAACATTTATGAAAAACTGAATATGTGCTAAAAACAAATTAATGGGGCATCCACAGAACTGATATGATTTACTGCTCCCAATAGCCTCATAGAAAAGAAGTACAACTCAAATGTGCCAAGTTTCCAAACATGTGTGCACACCCCACTGTTCCCGCCTTGCTCTGCAGGGGATACTCACTGAGCGACACCATGTCCCCGGCTGTCATTGAACACTGGTGGAGACGCAGAGCCTGCAGGTGACTCAACAGCCACCTGAGCTGAGGAGTCTTCAAAACCTCCACCCAGATCCTTGTTGCAGGAAAGGTCGAGCTGCCGGAGATGGTCCAAGTGTGGAAAAACAGTGTCTAGAAGGAAAGAAAAGCCCCGTTCTGACATAGGACAAGGCCACCAGAGTAAGTGGAACCGAGGAGAAGCTGGGTTTGGAGGAAAAGATAGTAAGTTTTCCCAACAGGGGGAGTGAGGGAAATTGAAAGATTTTGTTCAAATTTGTTTTTGAATTTTATAAATAAACTAGTAGAGAAAAATGAAATAAAATAAAATAAAATAAATGAAAACCAAAGGAACGGCAGCTTTGTCCTTCCAACTCCCCGGCCCTCTGAAGGCCTGCCAAGGACCACAGAGGGTCTTTTCCTCATGACCTGCCCGAGGCTGACTGCCAAAGACAGCACTTAATCAATATCAATTCCTTCTGCTACAGCGCATAAAAGAAGGCTTAGATTTTTCCAACGTAAGAGTGAAAGTGGTCGGCTTAGCAGCGATACTATCCCAGCAGACAGCTTCATTTTACCCATTGCGACCAGAAATCGAAAAGATCTTGGCCCATTCGGAGTCAGTCACTTAAAAATTATTAACCTTGCAGCTGATGGTTCTCCTAAAACACCTGAACGCTGGGGTTTTCATGGAGTTTTAGACGTAGCGAGCTGTCAATCAGAACACTATTAGAGACTCTCTACCATGAAGGGCAAAGGCACAGTTTCATTTTTATCTTCTCCGTGAATGAGCGTAGAGAGCTCAGGTGACCTACTGGGTAAGGAGTTGTGCTGCCAACACAGAAGCAAGCAGTTCGAATCCACTAGATGCTCCAGGGGAGAAAGATGAGCAAACTACTCCAGTTTGATTTATAGTCTTTGAAAACCCAGTAGAGGGTCAGCTATGAGCTGCTTCTAACTTAGCAGCAAAAAACAATACTAATGTGGATACTCTGTAGGGGAAGAGAAGATTTTTTTAAAAAATTCAAATATTAGATGTGTGTAACAAAACTTTTTTTGTCAACATTCTTCACATGTGTAGTTTAGTGACATATGACATTAATTGTGTACATATAGGAAGCCATTACTGTCATTTATTCAACTCTACTTTTCTTTGTCCTTAACAGAAACTCTATGTCCTAGAAGCAATGAGTTTACAGGCAATAACTTTTAGCTACAGATGTCACTAAGTACTTTATCAATATCAAGTCCTCCTTCGACAGAGCATAAAATAATGCTTTGATTTTTCCAAAGTAAGAGTAAAATTGGTTGGCTTAGCAGCGATACTGTCCCAGCAGACAGCTTCCTTTTACCTACTGAGACCAGAAATCGAAAATATTTTGGTCTGACTCAGAGTCAGTCACTTAAAAATTATTTCTGTAATAATGCCATTGGTGCAGATACAGGGCTGTTACTGGTGTGTACTCTTGAGTCAGAACCGACCCACAGCTGACCCGCTAGTGGGTTTTCAGAGGCAGTTCATTGCACGGGAGATTGTCCGTCTTTCTCCCACGGGAGGAACAGCTAGTGTAGTCAAACTGCGTGACTTTAGGACTGCAGAACAGCCTCTTACCACTAGGCTGAAAGAGCTCCCTGGCTACAGGGTACCCACATTAATAAAGGAGGGAAAAAGCACCTGGGGTTTTGGAGAAAGTGCAGCTGGGGAGGCAGAGATGGAGATGCTTTGTCTCTCATACTTTGAACATGTAACTTATTCCTCAAAAGGGACATTATGCTTAGGAAGATGGAGGGGCAGTGAAGGAGAGGAAGGACCCTAAGAAGACTGGCTCCGTGACTTCAGCAACAAGCTCTACTGTGTCAGAAATGATGAGAATGGCGTAGTGTAGGGCAGGGTTCAGGGCAGGTGTTCACAGGGTTGCTACCAGTCGTACTCAACTTGACGGCTCTTAACAACAATAACCATCTCACTGACAGTGTAATAGCTTTAAAATGTCATGATGGTGAGAAAGGTGGAGGGAGGAAGAGGAAGAGAGGAAGATTCTCAAAGAGATAGTTTACCACACGGACTATTACAGTGTGCTCAACTCATAAAATGTGGCAAGGAAGGCGCAGAATTAGATAACGGTCACATTTGTTCACAGGATTGTTCATTGAAGGCACATAAACACAACAACAATGATGAAAGTATACATATGTTCACTGTTAGAGATTTAGGGAAAAAACTGAACATAAAGAAGATTTAATTTACTGATAATCTTATCCCACTGTTTATGTTTTATTTCCCAACACGTTTAAAAATACGTATCAAGTTAAATTGTTGTTCACTCACCCAATGTTTTGATACTGTCCCGTGAGAGTCCACACGCATGACATTTCAAGACTTTGAGATTTGAGGTCTTTTTTAATCCCTGAGCAATACTGTTTAGACTGCCGTTGATGTTTATGTTAATGGAGAGATCAAGGACTTCAAGATTTTGAAGCATAGGTAGTAATTGTCCTGGAGGAAAAGAGAGACAAGTATAAAGAAACACGCTGACAAAAAAAAAAAAGCAAGCTGTGAAAAAGAGCAGAAAGGAGTGACCTACAGTCATAGGTAGTAAGACTCTCATGTGGTGCAAATAGTTTGCCTTCAGCTACTAACCTAAAGGTTGGCAGTTTGAACCCAGCCAAAGGTTCAATGGAAGTGAAGCTTGAAGATCAGTTTTTGTAAAGATCAAGGTCAAGGAAAACCTTTAGAGCAATTCAATTCTTTAACACATGGAGCTGCCATGAGGCAGAATAAACATGGAAGTCCTGGATTTGTGTTTTTGTTTATCTGTGGAAGAGTTACCAACCAGTTCACTACGAGTTGGATCCTCCAGAGAGAATTTGAACTGTCACATTGGGTATACCAAATCACTATCCATATTTGGCAAGATCACAGGTGATTCTTAAAAATAGTCTCAGAATTAAAATGCAGAGTCTGTTGTTGAAAATAAAATTGTCAGAAGAGTGTTGAACCCTTAAAGAACTGGCTAAAGCCCTGTGTTGTGTGTGGTTGAGTTGGAATCAACTCATAGTGACCCTCAAGCAGGGTATCAGAGGTTATGAATCAAACAGGAAAAGAGTTCCATCTTTGTCCTGTGCTTCCACTGGTGGTTTTGAACCATCAGAAAAAGAAAAATATTGATTCTTTGAAAAGACTGACAAAACACTCTTTAAAAAGCAAAACAAACCCCACCCAAACTGAAAGCACAGCAGACTTGAATTCAGTTCCAAAGCGATCTGATGATGGTACATTCACATTTTTTGAGCAGTAGAGGGAAAGAGTTCTTCCAAGTCTACTTACCAATAAAAGTCCCATCCTGCAGTGTGAGAGCACAACCTACAAGTTCAAGGCTTTGAATCACGCTTCCTTCTTGGAATTTCTGGAGGATTAGAGCCAAGTGTCCTCCAACTTTTCTGTTCCAGGACAAATTTAGCTCCGTAAGTTCAGGTAGGGCTTTAAGTGCTTCTCCTGTAACAAGTTGGCGGGGAAGTCAAGTTCAAAGCAGGGAATTAATTTCAGAATTAGCACAAGCATTATTTATGGAGCATTGAAGCTGGGTCAGGCAAGAAACAGACAGAAAGGACCCAATCCCTGCCCACTCACGGCAGCTGAACGTTTGTCTATATTTCCAGGCACAGCAACACCACTCCTTCCCTGAGCCTGATGCCAAATTTACAAACCATAATAAAATTTTGTTCTCCATTTTCCTTTTTTTATTGATATTTTAACAAAAGTTTACAGAAAACTTGGATTTCCATTCATTCATTGTTGCACATTTTCCTCCCTATCCCTGCCCCAGTTCACTTTTCTCTTTAAAAAGATTCTTTCATTGTTGCACAATTTCCTCCCTCCCTCCCACCAACCCACCTCTTATTCTGCACTGTTGTCATGCAAATAATACCTGACCATATATTCCTTTTAAACAACTCTTTCTCTCACTTGTTTCAATGCAGTGTTCCTTATTTATCCCCTCTTTTCTTGGTTTCCCCATGTCAGTCCTGTTTTATAACAGTTGCATTATGCAGTATTTGTCCTTTTGTGACCGAGATATTTTGCTCAGCATAATGTCCTCCAGGGTCACCCATTTTGTTTAATGTTTTATCAGTTCTTTGTTTTTCAGTGTTGCATAGTATTCCATTGTGTGAATATACCACAGCTTCTCAATCCATTCATTAGTTGATGCACAAATCATTTTAAAATGACAACACTACTACTAATTCATTATTGTTGTTGTCATTTTTTATTGCCTTCTAATCAAGCATGACTCATAGTTACCCTATGAACAAAAGGCCTGAAGCCCCTCTACAACTATCGACATCTATCAAAGTTCACAGGGTTTCTGGAGGCAAGTTTGTTAGGCTGCATCTAATATAACTCATAGCAATCCTATAACAGCAGATCAATGAACCCTGTTCTCTCTTGTGCCCTGTTCTATCTCTGACACACTTGAGCCCACTGCTGCAGTCACTGTGTCAAACCACCTGATTGAAGGTCTTCCTCTCCTTTGCCATCCCTCCACCTTTCCAAGCAAGATGTCCCTCTCCAAGGACTAGACTCTCCTCACAGTATGTGAAATGAAGCTTCACTGTCCTTTCCTCTCCTGAGCACTCTGGCTTCACCTTCTCTAAGACATGTCTGTTCTTTTGGTAGTCTATATTCAGACTTCTCCTCCAACATTACAACTCAAAGGAATCAATTTTTCTTCTGTCAACCTTATTCACAGTCCAGCTCTTAGATACATAGCAGGTGAGTGAAAAGACCATGGGCTAAAGCAGATACACTTTACTCCTCAAACTAACAACATTACTCCTCAGTAATTTGCAGACATCCTTAACCTCATACTTCCCCCGTGCAGTATATCTCCTGATCTCCTGACTGTTGGTATTAAGTGTATTGATTGTGGATCCAAGTAAGGTGAAGTTGTTGACAGCTTAATCTTGTCTCCACTATTAGTGGGTTGTTTTACTGAGTTGTTTTTGTTGAAAAAAATATTTGTGCTTCATAGTCTTCACAATTGTGTGCTATGCATCAGAGAGCTGCACAATGACTAAGGAGGATAGAAGGAGAACTGATGCCTTTGAGCTGTGGTGCTGGAGAAGAGTATTGAATATACCGTGGACTGCCAAGAAAACAAACAGATTCATCTTAAAGAGGGTGAAACTGGGCTGCTCCTGGAGGCAAGGATTCTGAAGCTTCGTCTGACATACTTTGGACATGTTGTAAGGAGGGACCAGTCCTTGGAGAGGGACATCATGCTTGGGAAGGTGGAGGGACAGTGCAGGAGGGAAAACCCTCTATGAGGTGGATTGATTCAGTGACTGGGGTAATCGGGATGGGTGTGTCAGACGCAATGATTGGCACAGGATAGAGCAGGGTTTAGGGCTGTTGTACATAGGGTCGCTATGAGTCTCAGGAGACTCGACGGCACATAACTACAACAATACTTTCTCTCACCCTCTATCACTGGGACTAATATTTCTGAGAAGCTTAATGTTGTAGAAAGAAAGTACTCCCCTTATCCCCAAGATATCCACTTTCTGTCTTCAGAAACCTGTGAATATGTTGTTTTACAAGGTAAAAAGGACTTTGCAGGTGTGATTAAATCCAGGACTATGGACTTGTTTGTTTTGTTTTTTTGTTTTTCAGTTCCTCCAGCTTCAGAAATGTTAAGCGAGTTCTTCCCTTTTTATTCTCTGACTCCAGCTCTTTGCAAATTTTGCTAGTATTTTGCTTTGTCTTCTTGAGCTGCCCTTTGAAATCTTCTGTTCAGCTCTTTATCTCCGGCATCTTTTCTTTTTGTTTTGGCTTCTTGGCACTCTGATACAATTTCCACAGTCTCTTGTATCCATTTTGGTTTTTTCTTTCTCCTTTGTCTTTGTAATGACTGTTGCTTTTTCTGTGGGTGACATCTTTGGCTCATCCCACAGTTCCTCTGGTCTTCAATCAAGGATGTTCTTGAGATAATTCTTAAATTCAGGTAGGATAGATTCAAGGTCATATTTAGGTTCTTGTAGACTAGTTTTCAGTTTATTCCGCTTCAATTTGGATTTACACAAAAGTAATTGATGATATTTCCACAGAAAACATCTGGCCTAGTTTTAACTGGTGATATCAATCTTCTTCAATGATTCTTACTACAGATGTAGTCAATCTGACTCCTGTGTGGTCCATCAAGTGAGGTTCTTGTGCATAGTCCCTGTCTGTGTTATCTTATAAAGGTAATTCCTGTGAATAAACCATTGAATGTACAGAATTCATTCTATCTCACCCTCATTTCTGTCACCAAGTTTTTCAGGGACCATTCCAGAATCCTTCACAGCAATGATGTTGGTTTGAAGACTAAGGTGTATCTGATTCGGGTCATTGTCTTTTCAAGACAATGGGAGAACTGATGTCTTTGAGTTGTGGTGTTGGAAAAGAGTACTGAATATCCCATGGACGGCCAAAAGGACAAACAGTTATATAGTGTAAAAAGCGCAGCCGAGTGTTCCTGAGAGGCCAAGATGGTAAAGCTTTGTCTCCCCTACTTTGGACATGTTGCTAGGAGAGGTGATATGCTTGGAAAGGTCGTCGAAAGAGAGAAGACCCCCAGTGAGATGGATTGATGCAGAGACTGCAGCAATGGCTTCACCCATGTCAGAGAAGCCGAGGACGTCACAGGGTACGGCAGGGTAAGGTTCTAATCTGTTGTTCATAGTATTATGAGTTATAATCAACTCGATGGCATCTAACAACAATAACAACAACATTTCTGAGTAGAATTTTAGTTCTGTTGGAGCTCTGATGGCTTAATGGGAAGAAGTTGCACTGCTGACTCAAAGACAGGCGGTTCGAATTCACCTACGGCTTCTTGGGGAAAAGATGAGTAATCCCTTCCTGCACCATTAACAAGCCTCTGAAAATCCCGAGGGCCAGCTGTGAGGAGGTTCTGACTTGATGGCCCACAACAGTGAGACGGTGTTAGCGTAGGACATACCTTTAGTCTCGTTTTCAGATCTAAAGTGGCAAGCTAGGCAGGCAAGCAAGCACAAATGGAGAGAGACACATGCCAGAGGGTCTTCAAGTCACCTGGCAACAGAAGCTGCAAAGAGGCAAAGACTCCTTCGGAATAGACAGGGTGTGCCTTCCCCTGGAGCCAGTGCCCGGATTTAGACTTCTCCTAAACCGTGAAGAAAGCCACACACTTGCAGAATCTACGCTGCAGCAGCACCAGAAAATGAAAGCAAGCATCTCGAGTGCGATGATTATCCTAGATAATCCAGATGGGTCTACTCTAACTCTAAAGGCTCTCGAATAAGTAACAGTGTCAAAGGGAAAAGCGAGGGGAAGGGAGGAGACTTGAAGACACTCCGTTGTGAGCTTTGAAGAGAAAGGACCCAAGAGCCAAGGAATGCTGGCAGTCTCTAGAGGCGGGAAAAAGTGAGCAGAGAGATTCTCCTCTGAACCCTGCAGAGGGAACCCAGCCTCTGACCTCCTGAACTGTAAGGCCATAAATCTGTGCTGTTTCAAGTCATCATGTTGTAATTTGTCACAGTGAGCATGGGGAATTAATTCACGGAGCCAGCCAACTCGGGGGTAACATTCACTCCGACACTGAGCATCTTAGATTCAGTGACTCTGCTTTCCACCGAGAGGGCCTGAAATAGAACAGGTGCTCCCAGCTGATGACAGCCTGGCAGCTGGACGGGGGCGGGGCAGCGCGCGAGGGGTGCAGCTTAACATCTGAGACCAGGTCACTCAGCAAAGCAGGGGCTGCAGAGGGCAGGCTGGGCTAGATGGGGGCGACCTCAGTGACCATCCACGGATACTGGCTTCACTGCCTTCAGATACAGCAGAGAGGCCACAGATGAGAGAGAAACCCTATGGAGGCGTAAAACCAACCTTAATAACCTTTGTTCAGATGTTGTCAGATTATGCTGTCGTCCTAAAAGGAACAGAAAATCTCCTGGGTCTGGATGCCTCTATTTTCACTGTCTGCAACTGGGTTTGAGCCTCTACAGTTACTATTAAGAACTTGGATTCTGTCAAAGCAGAAAGGTATGTTTTCCAGAAGTTACAACACTTCCAGGAGAAGGCACACAGCTCCCATCCCGTGTGCCACTGATAGTCAGTTGAAAGTATCGTCCTATAGCTCTGTGGTGTTCACTGCCGAAAACCAGAGAAAGCGCTTGACTCACCAGCTCTGCCTACATCGGGCATGGTGCTGGAGGGGACCAGGAGTATTTGCCATCCTTCATTACATAATTATAATGAGTACAATCATTGTCAATGCCTCCTGATACACGTTCTTTTATCAGTAAATAAAAGAGCCCGGGTGGAGGATTGGTTTAAGTGTGGAGCTGCTATCTAGAAGGTTGGGAGTTTGGCCCCACCAGCCTCTCAGTGGGGGAAGATAAACCCGTCCACCTTGATCCAGATTTACAGGTTTAGAATGTCAGGACTGACTCCACACTTACCCACAAGATTCCTCTGAGTCAGAAAGGACTCTGTGTCAGTGGGTGTCAGTGAACGACTTCTTTATCCAGAGTACAGGTGGCAGAAAAGGGCAGAGAATACAGAGGGACCAAGACATAGAAACCTCCCTGTTTCCTGACTGTTCAAGGGTAAAGAATCGTAAAAGAGATTAGCTTAATGATAGAAAATAAACTTCCCTTTTGGTTCACTTTTAAGTAACGGCCTGTTTTACTTGTAACTTGTCTACACAAGACTGTTTTTGCTGGGTGCTGTGGCCTCATAGCAGCCTCTTATGACAGCAGACCTGCCCCATAGTGTTTTCCCTCCTGTACAGAAGCACATCTCCAGTTCTCCCATGGAAAGGTAGGGTAATTCCTATCACCATTCTTTCAGCTGACAGTCAAGCAATGGCTTGACTATTTTTGACACCAGTAACCAACTGCCCGCCCTTTATTGAAGTTAAGTGCCATCAAGTCAACTACTTACAGTGACCCTTTGCAGAAGAAAGAAGCAGTTGTTGTCACAGGAACAACAACTGTAAAATATCACCTAACTTGGGAGGGACTGGAGAGAATTATGCTGAGTGAACTAACTCAGTTCCACAAGGACAAATATTGTATAAAACCATTATTATAGAATAACTACAAGGATCCAGGAGGGGTGAGAGAGTCTGGAAGCAGAGGGATGTGGATGTGCAGGGGGGGAAAGGGGATTAATCATTGAATTGTACAATTTGTTGGGGGGGGTGAGGGAAATTGAAATAATTTGAATTTGTATTAAAATTTTGTAAATAAACTATTTTTTAAAAAACCCCTTACAATCAGGAGAGAATAAAATAGATGGGAAGGGGGAGAAAAAGAATATGGGTCAGGCTTACACTGTGAATTTAATTGTTGGGAATATCGGGCCAGGGAACTTATAGGAGTTTCATTTTTTTCCCCCTTCAAGTTATTGGTACTCTCACAGTTTTACCTAAGTGAAAGTAATAAAGCATTACTTGTCAAAAAAAGAAGAAGAAGAAGAAGAAGAAGCAGCAGCAGCAGCAGTTGTCGGAACAGAACAAAAGAATACTGCGTGGTTTAAAATTAGGAAAGGTATGCATAGGGTTGTAGCCTTTCTCTATACCTATTCAGTCTGTATGCCAAACAAATCATTTGAGAAGCTGAACTATACAAAGAAGAATGTGGCATCAGGTTGGAAGAAGACTCTTCAACCACCTGTTATATGCAGTTGACACAATCTTGCATCCAGAAAGTGAAGGGGACTTGAAATTCTGGTCTCAGAGGATCAAAGACTACATACAGCCCTCATATGGGTTACACCTCAACATTAAGAAAACAAAATTCTCACCACTGGACCAACAGGCAACGTTATAAGAGATGGAGAAAAAATTAGCGTTGTCAAGAATTTCATTTTACTTGTATCCACAATCAACACTCAAGGTAGAAGAAGTCAAGAAATCGAAAGATATCTTGCACTGGGAAAATCTACTGTTAAGGATCTTTCCAGAGGCCTAAAGATCAAGAATGGCAGTTTAAAAAGACTGAAGGATGCCCGACCCAAGCCATGGTCATTTAAATTTCTTTCTATGAATTTGAAAGTTGGACAATGAATAAGGATGATAGAAGAAGAATCGATGCCTTTGAAATATGGTGTTGGTGAAGAGTGCAAAATATTCTGGGGCAATGAAAAACAAGGAACTTGTGAAATATACAAAATGGGTGACCCTGGAGGACATTATGCTGAGTGAAATCAGTCACAAAAGGAGAAATACTGCATGGTGCCACTGTTATAAAAAGAGACTGACGTCAGGGTTGAGGGGAGATTGCCCACTTTTTGAGTGCTTAACCACTCTGCTGTGAGGGCCTCTTGCTTCACACAAATAGGATCACCTGTGAGGATCTCTCTCCTCTTCATTGCCACTGAGTCAGAATTGATGCATAACCGAACCTCCAGCAGGTTTTCAGAAGCTATGAATTGTGCAAGAGGTGACTGCCCATCTGTTTTGTCTGAGAAGCAACTGATGGATTTGAACTGCCCCCCTTAGGGTTAGAAGCACAACTCCTTACCCACCAGGCCAGCAAAGCTTCCTGCCTCGGGGATAGTGGCACGCTTGTAAAGACAGCATCCTTCATATCCAGGGCTCCAACGTCATCAGGGGTGAGTCCGCAACTGCCCAGTCTCAGGATTTTTAACTTGCTGACGAGATGCATTTGCTGGGTGATTAGGTGGAGGCTTCCACCGACAAAGTCATTCCAGGAAATATCCAGTTCTTCCAAGTCTGGGAGCAAAGGAAGCAAGGCAACTGAAAAAGGCACAGAGAAGAAGACATGTTTGGATGTGTAATTTGTGATGCGTAGCAAATACTGAGAGGACCCCTGGTGACAGAATGTGTGATGTTAGCAGACAGCTGCTGAGAGCTTTGAGGTTCTAATCTACCAGTTGCCCAAAGGAAGAATGACGGACAGTCTTCCCCATAAAGGAAGTGCCGCTTCAGACTCTCAAAGGAGGGTCACTATGAGTTGGAACAAACCGATAGCAGCGGGTGGGCAGCCTCACAGACTCAACGCTTCTTCTATGCACAGATGACCCTTGTCAACTGTAGCGGCAAAGCTGGAGCCTCTTGGCCATCCATTTGGTGGCATTGTGACATTTACATTTCCTGTATCTTGTGGTTGTTACATGCCGTCGAGTTGCCTGAAACTCATAAGCAACCCTCTGTACAACAGCTCTGAATCATGCCCTGTCCTGAGCTAGTCTGACTGATTCTGACACACCAGCCCCCACGGCCCCAGTCACTGTATCAATCCATCTCATCTGGGTCTTCCTCTTCTGCGCTGTCTTTCCACCCTTCCGAGCATGATGTCCTCCTCCAAGGACTGGTCCCTCTTCACCATGTGCCCAAAGTAAGTGAGACGGAGCTTCAAAATCCTAGCATCCAAGGAGAGACTTGGTTTGACCCTCTCCAAGACAGATGTATTGTGTCATAAGACTCAACTTGTATGGTAATTGAACCTAATAACAGAGAACTGAGTTGATTCCAACTCACGGTGATAGTCCCGACAGAGCAGCACTGCCCACAGGATATCTAAGGCCGTATATCATGGACTCTGCAATTACTTGCTATGCATCAGAAAACTAGACATGATAGAAGGAGAATTGCTACCGTTGAGCTGTGGTGTTGGAGAAGAGTATTGAATATACCATGGACTGCTAAGGAAATGAACAGGTTCA